AGATAGTTTTCTACAGTAGCATCCAAATGACGCAAGAAGGTATGAAGAGAAATTCTCTTGCCACCCAGTTCATATGAAAGTGTTAAGTTCCCCCAGTTTATCACCCACCAAAGAGCGTAAGAAAGGTGACCTCGAACACAGCAAAGTTACAAACGCAAGAAATATACTTCACCTTGTGGTAGAAAGAAATCACCAGCCGTGCAACACCAGCTCTTTAACTACTTGTGCACATCATACTCAGCAACAGAGAACCAAGTTCACTACACTGATAGAGGTAAAGGCTTCTCACAACACTACATACCCAAAATAGGTTCATCAACTTGACTAAGATAGCCAAAGACTTGGGCCTCTTATCCCACACGGAATTCCACATTGGCCTTCTGGCATTATTTCTCTTGGTTTATAAACTGGTCACAAGACACCTTTCATGCAATTATTTCCTTGAGTCTCCCTACAACCCAATCTGTTTTTCTCTGTACAATTTAAGGCGCAAAACAATTCAGAGGAGACTTATTTGGCTGCCACATTTGGGCTCAGCAGCCTGCTTTGTGAGAAAGGCATGGGACCCAACAGCCCCCTTTGTAAAACCTGGGGGAAATGAAACTATGCCTGAACCTGCATGGCAGGGGGGTCCCACTTGGAGCTCAGCCACCTGCACTCCTTTCAGCCTCTCCAGGGCATTGGCAACATAGCCCAGATGTGCCATGACACATCTGCCCTTTGCAAACCATATTGGTTGTTGCAGAGCATGGAAGAGGACGTCACGCTGCTTTAAGCAGCACTGACGAATATTTCCTTCTTTCATACAAATTTGGCTGGTATAGGGAGAATGGCCATGCCAATTAGAGTGATTCTTCTGCGGCTCCACCACTTTGTTTCTTTGAGATGTCCATCCTCCCTCCCCATTTCCACAGAGAGGTTCTGGGAAGGTGGTGGGGGGCGGAGAAGAGCTGGCTATGCAAAGGGGAGGAGAGGTTGTAGGAAAAAACCCATTCATTGTATTGAAGGATCCAGGGGTCTTGAACTCAGGTCTATCAGTCTGCAGGCAACCTTTGCCTCCCAGCCACGATCCAGTAGCATACTAGTAGCTACTGGGTGAAGTGGTTAATGGAACCCTAGGCCACCCTGAGGCCCTGCCCATAGTTCTCCTGCCTGGGGGGGCACCGAGCCCCACCGACTGGGCTGGCTGGGATATTCAGGGAGGCATTTGTGTAATTGAGTGAGTTTCTGGTTGGCTTTTCCATCAGATCCTGCCTTCTCAACTAATTCCTGATCCCTGCTTCCATGACTTGCACCTGGTTCCTGCTTTCCTGTCTGGTTCTTAATCCCTGCCCCTTACCTCTGACTCCAACCCCTGGCTCAGCTCCTGACTCTGACCACTAGGTCTGACCCACCCAATCCCAATAGTATCCGTTCTATTCCACATGTCCCCCACAGCCAATTTCCACAGATTTCTGTACGTTTCTTCCCTGCCATGCCACACAGAAGAATGGCTGTAGAGAGCTCTAATAGCACTGCCATTGGTAGGGGAATATATCTAACAACCATGGGGAGGAAGAATTTCAAGGACAAAAGCCCCCCTTAAAGACAGAGGGGGCATTTTGGGCCATGGTGCAGAGTATTAGAAGAAAAGCAGGACTTTGTATTTTTTCCAAACAGTAAATGAAGCTTTTCCTATCTGTAAATGTCTCTTCCTAGAAAGAACAGGTCTGGCCCTTCCCCACAAGACAGGGAAGCAGGCTTGAGTAGTCAACAGCACTGGGCTCAAAAGAAGTATCCCATTGATGTCACATGCTCTTATACAAATCATTGACAGCCTCTGATTGTCAAATCATTGACAGTTTATAGCCAGGCCTCCTGGAAGAGGAGAGCCTTCTTAGCCTGGGTGCTCTGTCTGTAGCTCTGATCTATGGCAATGAACCTAACAGGCTATGGCTTGATGACAGAGATACTTCTCACCACAACTTGACGGCCATCTTGACTCCCTGAGCCAGCGAGAGCTGTTGCAGGGATGGGAAAGGAAATAGGATTCCTCTCTGCTCCCCTCAAGTGGTCATGATCCACTAAGTCCAGTCCAGACAGGCCTAGTGGTTCTATGTCTCAAACATCAACCTTGTCCCAGGGAGAACATTGAGACTCCTCCACAGCCTTGCTGCTTGCACTTCAACTCTGAACTAGCAGGTGCTTTAGTTAAGGCTAATTTTGTTTTTTGACTGGGGACTAGTGATTTATTTTGGCCATCTAACAAACATGTCGTAAAGCGCTCTCACTATTTAATCATATATTGTTGTCTAAATTTCTCCTCTCAATTTTGCCCATAATTTCTCACTTTTAGGAAATCAGGTCATGATCAGAGCTGCAGCCACAGCCACCAACTCCTAGTCCAGTGATTAATACAGCTTTATCTGTCCATAATAATAACCCGAAACAGAGTTACCTCATGTTGAGTGCAAGCCTTTTTGTTAGAAAAATCATCTATAAGGCTAGTGATGTTTTGACACTGGCAGCATGTGACTTCCAATGTATAGTTCCCAAATTGAAGCCTCCAACACTACAATTTCTCTATCCACATTTTAAAGACAAGTGCTTAATGAGTAATTCAGCCTCTTCTCTGAATCATAGAATATCAGGGTTGGAAGGGACCTCAGGAGGTCATCTAGTCCAACCCCCCCTGCTCAAAGCAGGACCAACCCCAACTAAATCATCCCAGCCAGGGCTTTGTCAAGCCTGACCTTAAAAATATCTAAGGAAGGAGATTCCACCACCTCCCTAGGTAACGCATTCCAGTGTTGCACCACCCTCCTAGTGAAAAAGTTTTTTCCTAATATCCAACCTAAACCTCCCCCACTGCAACTTGAGACCATTGCTCCTTGTTCTGTCATCTGCTACCACTGAGAACAGTCTAGAACCATCCTCTTTGGAACCCCCTTTCAGGTAGTTGAAAGCAGCTATCAAATCCCTCCTCATTCTTCTCTTCCGCAGACGAAACAATCCCAGTTCCCCCAGCCTCTCCTCATAAGTCATGTGTTCCAGTCCCCTAATCATTTTTGTTGCCCTCCACTGGACGTTTTCCAATTTTTCCACATCCTTCTTGTAGTGTGGGGCCCAAAACTGGACACAGTACTCCAGATGAGGCCTCACCAATGTCGAATAGAGGGGAAAGATCACGGTTTGATTATCTCCAACAGATCCATACCTGTAATACCTCCTGAGCTTTGTAGCCATATGCATTCAGGTTCCTGTGAGTCTCAAGTTCTCAATCACTCTAAAAAAGGCAACGATGTCTTTGATATAGAATGCTGCCCATGACCTCTCTTACCCACTCAGTCCTTCCTTAACAGGTTATACCTGAACATTCCAACCTTGTGAATCACCCACAAGGTTTCAGTGATAACATGTGTATCAAATTACTTCTCATCAATCAGCTTCCAGTTCTTCTTGTGTGTGTTACCCAGCCTCCGAACATTGGTATACAAGCAATTAAAATGTCTTCTTTTCACATTCTGTACCACATCGGTTCAATTGGTTGACAACATGCAGAGTTTATGCCACACTTGCCTTCTTAACACCCTCTCACCTGCTCCAGCTATCTCCAACAGAAAAGAGTACCCCCACCCTCACCCACCGTGAGATGCAAACAGTCCTGTTTGTTCAGTGTCCTCTCCCACTGAAACATGGCCCAGTATTCCACAAAGTGTTCAGTGTCACAATCACACAGCCAATTTTTCAACTCTAGTATTTTCTGATTTTTCCTTTCTCTTGTGGGACTGGTAGGATCTCCAAGAAGATGACGTGGGCTTTATTTTTCTTCAGCTCTCTTCCAAGATCCCTGAAATCTTTTATGATCTGTGAATTGGTTCCAGAAGATGAAAGAGATGCCCAGATAGAATAACTACCAAACATGGGGATATGGTATAGTGACAACAGCACAGAAACAGACATTTCCCAGGTGCACTGCTTTTGATAACTACCTGTCTCTTACTAATGTTTCCTACTGTAGGCTGGTCTTGTTATAGGAACTCCCCCTCCCAAAAAAAAAAAAAAGACTTTCTGAGGGCTGGCCTTTAAATTTGGCAGAGACAAGCAGCTGCAGCCCTAAAGTGGCCATTTTACAAGTGGCTGCTGCTGGCTGCATCTCCTTCTCTTCCAGCAGGTAAGTATTCATCTCCCTAACGTAAGCAGAGTAAATTGCTCCCAAAGGAGGAAAAATAAAGTCTTAGGGTGCACTCCAAGGCGCAATCAGGTGCCCCTCGCTCAGAATCCCGTGAATCCTACTGTGGTAAGCAGGAGAGGATCTCAGCCCAGTGGGTAAAGGTCTGGGAGAGAGGCTCACAGTTCTACTCTCAACCTCTATTATAATAGTTTTCTCTTCAGGCGAGCCCTTCAGTCCCTCACAGGAAAGCAGGCCCATTCAGCATTCAGCTGTCCTCTGTTACGATTAAGTCACTGCTGGAAGCCCTAAGTATAGCTGATAAAAACTAGAAAGCTCCAGCTCCAGCTGTTACTCTTGGTTTCAGAGCCAAAGTATTCTGGATTCCAACTGATGGGTAGGTTCTTTAGGGGCAGGCCAACAATTAACAGCTTGAGTCTTCCCATCAGGAAGGACCCACTCACTTGGCTGGATTCCTGGCCACGGTCTTGACTTCAAAAGAGTGGCGTGCTATGGTATTGGCACCCTTACTTCTGCGCTGCTGCTGGCGGCGGTGCTGCCTGCAGAGCTGGGCAGCTGGAGAGCGGTGGCTGCTGGCCGGGAGCCCAGCTCGGAAGGAAGAGCTGCTGCCAGCAGTAGAGCTGAAGTGAGGATGGCACGGTAGGGCGTTGCCACCCTTACTTCTGCGCTGCTGCCTGCAGAGCTGGGCCCTCAGTCAGCAGCCGCCACTCTCTAGCCACTCAGCTCTGAAGGCAGCACAGAAGGCATGCCATTACCCGTCTAGTCACCAAAGGACTTGGTAGTTGGAAGTAAATGCTTTGAGCCAATAATAAAACAAACATAGCAACAGTTTTGTGTTAAGAAAATTTTTATTTGTCCTTTGGATCTGTGATGAAAGCACATAAAATTACAAATGGAAGAAACACCATGCCACAAAATTGCATAGAATTCTTACAAAAATGTGAATTATGCATCTGAAACAATTAGATTGAGAAACGAAAATATGTACATGTTAACCGAAATATTTCTCTTATTTTTTTTCAAAGCAAATCACCAAAATCCAATCAATCACAGACACTATTAATACAATGTACAAGAGCAACACTGATTTGAAAGAAAGGCAAGCAATGTCCCTTTAGTTATCTTTTAATGAATACATAATAATAATAATTAATACATGAGCATTAATTAACATAATTATGAACATGTTAAATCCAAAATGTCCGGCATTTCATTAGAACTTTTAAAATTCTGCTTATACTGCCCAAGTCAATCTATTCTCAGTAGTGTTAAGATATTTGAAGTGTACAATCTAGTTTAATATAGAGAGTTCTATTCTATACAACAGAAAGGTCCACAGTACAGCATTTCCACACATTCAACACATAACAAGGCAAATACATAAAAGGCACAAGACTTGCACATCATAAAGACCCTTTTTTCGTTATCTTATTTAGTTCAAGTAATATTAATATTAAATGATATCTGTATCACTGTAATAATCTGAACAATGCAAGGTGTACAGTATTACACACTACCCTACAACTGCAAAAATTAGCACTGTACAGATATAAAAAATGGGAGTACAGTAAATGGTCAAATACAAACATACTGTAAAATGACTACAACTGATCATATATTTAGTCCAACCATACACTTTTTAAAATATAAATAAAAGGCTAATTTGTATTTGCCCAAGTCTATTTGAAGACTAATGGTGAAGCCCCTGGCTACCCTGAAGTCCCTGGAAGTGTTACCATAAACTTCAGTGGAGTCATGATTTTTACCCTAAGGCAATGATTACTATAATGCAATAGTCTTCAATAGGGTTGTGAACACTGCTATTAGTATATCCTTTCTATAATTTCAACAACCTATGTAATTTTTAGTTTATAAAATGCAGCATTAAATTTACCATTCTAGATTTTTATCGAATGATTAATGCCAATCTTCAAAGTGCAAAAGTAGACTGATTTTTCTAAAATCAAGCTGAAAGTCAGACTTTTGAGTTTTATGGTCATTCAGTTAGTGTAATCATCATCAACCAGAATAGTTTAATCCAAAATATGATCTCCAAAGAATGTGCAATTTTTCTTTTTGCCTGCTCTAAGTTTAAAAAAAACCCATCAAAATACTGTTTGTTTTCTAAGATTTGAACTTATAATATATATACACATATAGGATTTAACTCAAAACTTAAGCTTGATCGGTATTTATTGCTTAAATTTAAATAAAATAAGTTACTTAAAATATTAAAATCCTGAGGGAAAGCGTAAAGTAACTTAATTGCTATTATTTATTAAAATGCTTTGCTATGCTACTATTAGACCATTTAAATTTATTTATTTAAAAATACAAATTAAGGCCCAAATCCTGCAAACATGTATGCGAGCATTATTATCCACAGAGTAGTTTCACTGAATCCAATGGGATTATTCATGTGTATAAAGTTACTCATGTGAGTGTTTGCAGGACGTCGGCCTAAGTATGAAAATCTACACATTCTGAGCTTGTTTCTCATTTACACTAAGGGCCCCACTGCTCTGGTACTATAAAGGGGCCTTAAAGTACAAGTAAATTATATTTATGCTCACTTTAAAACTCCTTTACATGACGAGAGCAGTATAAAGTGGCCTTAGTGTAAATGAGAATCAGGCCATATATATTATCATACCCTATATCCTCTTTAACAGGGGATGCCAGAGAATAATATTTTTCTTTCCCTTCTCAAATATCCTGATTTTCAGAAAGTCTTACTAATTATTTTTATATAGATTTCTGAAAATATGCGGTTTATTTCTCTCATGCATATCATACTGTACATAAGCTTGGACTGTTCTTATGTTAAAGTATGGATATATGGATTAACAGATATTTGAAATAACCGGGGTGGGGTTTTTAAATTTGCTTTTAAACTTCAGACGTTAGTAAAACTGAACTGCAGAATTAAAAATGATGGAAGATGTTCCTAAATGTTCAAATCCTGTAGTTTTAAACATTTTTATAACCCTATCAAATTCAGTAAGCTTAAAATATGACACTTAAAATCAATACTTTCAAGTCTGCAAAATATATATCAAATTTATTTGCTAAATGTACTTCAATTTACAACACCAACAACACGAAAAGAATCTTATGATTTAATGTTTGTTTAATATCACTGTAACCCAGAGGTTACAATCTATAAAGGTTTTCTATTCACGTATCCCTGAAACTTTTCATTTTGCCATGAGAGCAGACCGACTGCAAATACATACATGCTGTGTGTGTATATGTATGTGTGTGTGTGTATGTATATGCTCAAACATATATGCACTCACACAAGTGTACAACATACAAACACTCTCTTTCTCTAAGCAGACTAAGTCCAACTCTTGGTTTTAAACTTACTCTAATCACCACAGTTCCAACAAAGGATTTTTTTCAGCAGCAAATATATTTCTCTCCACATGATAAACATAATATCAAGACAGCAAGCCACCAGTGCTTGCAAAGCTAAAAAGGATCAAATGTTTCAGTGCAAATGTAACATGATGACACAGCTGTCAAGGTGCAGTTAGAAAGCAGGAAACAAAAATGATTAAGTATCGTCATACAATTCCGTAAGGTCAGTATTAGTTTGGGACGCTTTGCATTGGCACTTTAAAAGGAAATCTGTGCACATTTGCCTGTGTACAATACTCTGGTCTTCATTAAACTATCTTAAAAGTGCATAAGGCCTGAAAATTACCCATTGTAAATTGGGGGAGGGGGGAGTATTAACACATTCATTCCCTACTCTCACTGCACTAAGCTTTAGTATAATAAAAAAAACGAAGCATGAGAGTGAAGACCTTTGCACCATCTCTTTATAAAATGTTTCTTTTTAAAATGTGAACTTCAATACAGATGCCTCCTGCATTCAGAAGCTTTTCAATGGCAGCTCACAACAGGAAACCAGAGAATGGGCAGCATGGGAGTGGCATGCCCTGGCACAATAACTGTTGCTTGTGGGCTGCCCTGGGTAGTTAAAAAGGGGTATCGAACACTTTATCTGGATTATTTTCTTCCGTTTCCTCTTCATTTTGCAGAGGGTTATGGTTCAGTTTTCCACTGTCAGATGTCAGGGAGGAAGTGGCAGAACTGTGGTCTCCGTCTTCACTGATTTTCCCTTTCATGGCATCCTGTACAAACTCCAGAATTTCCAGAGGGAGCCTTTTGAATTTGTCTTGATATTCCTGATCAAGTTCACCTTGTAACTGGAACAAAAACAAAACAGAAACGGTCTTAAATAATTTCTGATGGGAACAATAACCTACAGCACGGGGACACTACAAGCAGGAGAGGAAAAACTTACAAACTCACCTCCATTTGTTATTTTTACATGATTGGGGGCTTATTTTCAGTTTGTAGGTTTAGGGCTATACCTATGATACACCTAATAATGATCAGACACCTATTAATTATCATGCATCCACTGCAAAGCTGAAGGCAAATACAACCATTTTTACATTTTGTTTTGTTACGACACTCATAGGCACCAAAATCCTGCAAACATGCATGTGCTTAATTTTACTTCTGTTAGTAATAAATAATAATAATACCTAGCTCTTATATGGCACTGTTCATCAACAGATCTCAAAGCGCTTTACACAGGAGGTCAGTATCGTTACCCCATTTTACAGATGGGGAAACTGAAGCACAAAGAAATTAAAGCTCAGATCCAGGAAAGGCACCTTGGGAAAATCATTGGAATCCACAAACCCTGGTTTAGGTGCCTCGGCTCCATATACAATGCATGGGGGGAGAGACAGGTGCCGGAAAACGAAATCCACAAATGCTAGCACAGTAGGCAAGGAGCTGCCTAAACTAACCAGTGTGAGATGCTGGTGAGAAGGGTGTATCCTTAACCCTGCCCCTCTCAGATAGGTCAGTGCCTAGCTCCCTTTGTGATTCATGGCTGGGAAACCTTTCCTGGAATCAGGAGCCTCAGCCATTTCTCTTGCAAGAATACAGCTGAGGGGAGGAGAAGGCCTCTCTTATAACCTTTAGCCCAGTGGTTAGGGGACTCACCTGGGGTATGGGAGATCCCTGTTCCACTGCCCCCTCTATTTGATGAGGAGAAGGGAGATGAACAAGAAATGCCCCAATTAACGGACTACAGAGGCATTCTCAATCTCTCTCGGGCCCAGTGCATATTTCCTTATTTATCCAAAATGGAACGGCTTCAACAGGAGAGACTGAGCCACATCAGAATGTCCCTATTCAAATCCCTTCCTCTCATCAGGCAGAGGGGGAAGTGAACCAGGGTCTTCCACATCCTAGGTGAGTAAGCTAACCACTAGGCTAAAGGTAGGCTGAAAACTGGCCTTTAGGTGCCTAAGTCTCTTTAGACTGGTCTTTAGGTGCCTAAGTGGCATGCTCAAAGTCACCAGCAGTAGAGCCGGCAATAGAAGCCTGAGTCCCAGCACAATGCTCTGTCCACTAGGTCACCTCTTCTTCGGGTGACCTCATCTGCTTACTTGGTTTCAGTTACCAGCGCTATGGCAACCTCTCACAAATCTACCTCTCTGCCCTCAACTTGCCTCCAGCATATCCCACATCTCGGTCTGTCTCTCTGACCCTTCCTCTTGGATGTCTTGCCATCCATGTAAGCTTCCCATGACCCAAACTGACCTCCTTATCTTCACTCCTAAACCCCGGCCACTCCCCCACTTCTTTGTTGTTATTGACAACACCATCATCCTCCCTGTTACTCAAATCCACCACTTCCCAGCTTGAATCCATCTCTAACTCCTTCCTCTCCCTACATACAAGCAGTATCCAAATCTTGTAGCTTCTTCCTCCTTAGTGTCTAAGATCAGCCCTCTTCTTTCTATCTCTGCTGCTAGAACGCTTGCTCTGGCCCTCATCTCCCATTTTGATTGCAGTAACCATCTGCTCTGGCCTCACGACAGCCATCTTGCCCACCCCCAATCCATATTACTGATGGCTACTAGGGTGACCAGACAGCAAGTGTGAAAAATCGAGATGGAGGTGGGGGTAATAGGGTCCTATAGAAGACAAAGACCCTAATATCGGGACAGTACCAATAAAATAAGGACAGCTGGTCACCCTAACTGCTGCTGACAAGTCTGAGGAATAAATTATGTATCCCAGATTTCAAATACGTATTTGCATCAGTCTTATTTTGCCATGACATGGGCAGTTACCACTTTGATCACTCTTCTCTTATGCAATGCCTCCTCTTCTTTTTCTTGTGCCCCTTCTCCCTACGCTCTCTCTGTCTTTAAGGGACTTTCCTCTGAGATCACCTAGAAGAGTGTGGGCAATACCTGAGATAAATTAATAAAAAATATAATAGCAGTAAGTTACAAACTAACACATTGAAACGCCCCTGGAAATTTACTGACAGTCAGTGAAGATTACAGAGCACTATTATGGTATGCTCTCTGCCTGACACGCGACTGAACAACTGAGATGCTGCATTCTGCGCTAGTTTTCATTTCAGAATGGTCTCAATGCGCAGCATGGTGCAGAATGCATTACAATATTCTACTCTGGAGGAGACCAAAGGCAGGGATATTTGCATCAAGGACCACATCCTAGAGAAAAAGGACAGTCATGTTTCACCATGTGTCAAAAGTGCTCTTAGCCACAGCTAGTTATCCAGGAGCAGACCAACATCGCATGAAACTGCTAAATTACAAAATCTGTGCCGCATGTGGCAGATTCCCTCACTCTACTTGGTTTATCAATTCTATTGGTTGCTCCAGCCTACCAACATTCCGTTTATCTTCTCTATATCTAGCCCTCATTCAGTTCACAGTCTCAGACAACCTCTGGACCATTTGTTCAACTCTACCTACCAAGATCAAAGCAACAAAGCTGTAGACATGGGTGTGTTATCACAGTCCACATCTCCTCATTAAGCCTCATACTTCTACACAGTGGATATGATGAAATAAACCACGGTGGTAACCCGCATAAGGGAACCCTACAGCAGAAGAGCAGCTGGCCAATGCTACCCATTGGGCTCTCTCACGCTCAAAAAAACCCTCCATCCAGTCCTTCTAGGGGCGGGTCTCAGGTATGTCAACTAAACCATGTGGTCAGCACTATGAAAGGCAACCCAGCACATACAAAAGCAGCAGCATGGACACTTTATATCCATCCATCATAGATACTACTAGATAATACTTAGTCCTGCCATGAGCACAAGGGACTGGACTAGATAAGCTCTCGAGGTCTCTTCCAGGCCTACTATTCTATGATCATGAGGAGGAGATCACTGACTAATGCAACAAGTGCCTGGTCCATATCTAAGTCTAAAATCTGACTGATTGGTGTCAAGGCAATTCAGAAACCACTGGAGTTTTCTTGCCACAAACTTCTCAAGGATTTTTTCCAATAACAAGTAGAGACTCTCCAGAATTAAGTCAATGTCAAGTGTCAAGCTGTATCAAGCAGTCATTTCTTAAGATCCTTGTTTTATAGGAATCTTCAGAGATGTAGGTGTTAATATTTGTTACAGTTACTCTTAACTCTTAGTGATGAACTCCACATATGGAGATTATTAGCATACATTAAAATCCTTTCCTAATGCAAGGCTTATTGAACTGGGACACATCACAATATTAGTAACCTTAATTAAGAAACAGGAATCAACACATTTCTACAAACAGCAATACGATGTACAGAAAAGGTTTTCAACTTAATTTGGCCACAAATAATAAAATATTTCATGTTGTAGGACCACATCAATACCTACAGTGATACACCTTACTGTGGATAATGGAATTAGTGTATTGGGGAGACACCCAAGAATGACATATGAAATAGAAATCATTGTACATCCCTGAGAGGTTTATCATTCTGAGCCGCTATTTGTATTGCTCCTAGATTTCCAGATTCCAAGGCCAGAAGGGTCCAATGTGATCATCTAGTCTGACCTCTTATATTACACAGGCCATAGAATTTCACCAAAATAATTCCTAGAACTAAACAGCATCAATTTGACGTATGAGTGAGGCAATGGTGTTCAGATCTCCATTACATTTGGTCTAGGTTCAAACCCAAATTAAGACTAAGGTTGAGTTTTGGACTTAAGGGTACTAAAATCTTGTGAGATTTCTGCGATTTTAACTCAAAACATGGTGAAATTGACTTGTAGGATTTTGGCTATAACCAACCTGGGAAATAGGCCTTTTTCAATTTATAATCTGATTTGGAATGGAGGCAGAGTTGGATCTGAGGAATTTGCATCTACACTCCTGTGAAATACACAGGAGTGTAGAAAAGGTTTCCAATTTTGGCACATCTCTAATCATATTTTATGATATTCGTGGAAGTCTTGCTCTTGCAGACATAAATGAAAAGGACACCTAGCATAATTACTTGATCTCCTTGAAACTGTCTCTTTAATATATTTTGTTCACAGAGCCAGGTATCTGAAAAATCATACAAACTATAATTTTTGCAGGGCAGGTTTATAGTTTCTGCGTGTGGTTTCTATGACTTTTATCCATCTAGGTCAATTCTGGAGATCCTGACTTCTCATGTTGACATACATCTCTGTATGATTCAAGGTGTAACATGGATTATCAATAGTATTCTCAGATCTGCTCCCTGGGTTCTTGCTTCATGAGCCTTTAAAAAAAGACTTCTGTTAATTCATCCTTCCTCTAGGAGATCTAGTATCTAATATGTGTGAATAAAATAGATTCACCTGTTCGTTACGTTATTCATTTTTGGTAATAAAAGGTTGCTTATTAATGGCTTTTATTTATCAAGAATTTCTAAACTTCATTGGGATTGGCCCAAAAAACTTCATTTACTTGTCTATATCCACAGCTTCATCAGCGCTCAAGCCACGGAGGGATCCCAAACTAACTACATGACACAGGACATGCGGTGATCTGGATTCTGTTGTGTGATTTCTTGCAACACTTAGCATACATAGCCCTTCAGTAATGCAACTCAGATTCTTCAGCTGACTCTTCTTCAGCTGTTTATTCTTGTGCTATGTGAATAACGTAGCTGGAGTCGATGTAGCTTAGGTCGACTTACCCTGGTGTCTTCACTGTGCTGCGTTGATGGGAAACACTCTCCGGTTGACTTCCCTTACTCTCCTGGGGAGCTGGAGTACGGGAGTCAACCGGAGAGCGCTCTGCTGTCGATTTAGCGGGTCTTCACTAGACTCGCTAAATCAACACCTGCTGCATCGATTGCAGCAGCGTTGATCTCCCATGGCCACACA